TTCGGCGAAGAAAGACGCGTAATCATAGATTTATACTTGGCCAAGGACTGTCACTTCAGCATTATTCGCCAAAAAGTATTTACGGAATGTACATACTATTACAACCGCAAACATAGTTGACCGCGAAAATAAGTTTACGCGTCCTTCTTCGCCGTCAAATATTTTAACGCGTCCTTCTTCGCCGTCAAATATTTTAACGCGTCTTTCTTCGCCGTCAACTATGTTAAGAGTCTTTCTTCGCTGAAGTTTGTTTTATGCGCCTTTTTTCGCGGTCAACTTTCGAGCTCGCGCCTTTATTCATGTCTAGTGACGTTATAAGAATGTATTTTGTCCTTAACAAAAACTGTATAAATCCAAGTTTAAATCTTTGTGCAACATTAAAAAAAATCGACAAGCTTTCGTACAAAGTTCGAAGTATTCAATTTTAGTATAGTGAATTGCAAGCTTAAAGTAGCTGGGACTTACCGCCGATTTTTGGCAATTCTTTTTTTTTTTTTGTTGACGATGTCAGTCATTTTTTTCATTTAGTTAATTTTTTATATGGAGAAAATGAGCAACACCTTCATTCAAAAAAATCTTAAAAAACTTTGTTGTATTCAAACTGAATGGGCTACAAAACTGCATACTCAAAATATTTTTAGGAAATCTAAATAAAAAGCTCGGAATTTTTACGAAAGTATATTGATTTTTTTTAATGTTGCACAAAGATTCAACCTTGGATTTGTAGGGCTTTTTTTTATAAGCTTTTATTTAACTTGGTCATCCCGCGCAAATCGCGGAAATTTCCAATCGATTTTAAACTGACTTCCCGACAAGTTAGAGACTGGAAATTTTCAGCATAGTTCCAATCACGATGACAATGCAATTTAAAATATAAATGAATTCCCCATATGGTCCAGGGGTCTTGATTCAAAGGCGGTAAAAAAATAGTAAGATTTATGGCTAACAGAGCGTAATTTGCCAAAGAACGTAAAACCACTATAAAATTGTTAAAGCTGTCGGCGATAGTGTAGCAAAGCTACTTGTGGCAAATTCTGATATCAACCTAGTCTAGATATGAACCTCGTTGTAAGAATTAGAAGACTCCAGATGTCGCCCCGACAGAAGAAGTTAAATATTGCGCCTAAATATATGCCAGGCTACAACGGAAATGGACGACACGCCATTTCTTTAAATAAAATTAACTGCTGCTATATGTACATATGTATGTTTATACAAACCATAAGCAAACATTTTGCTTGCCAAATCTTTTGTCCTCTTTCATTGCAAGTTGAATTATTTTAATATCTATTGCAAAATTTTGTACATAAAATGAAATAACACTTTTTAATATACAACGCTTTTATAAATGGACTAAAAATTATAAAATAAAATAATGTAAAAAAAATATTTTTTAAAAACAAGCTTTTATTTAACATGTACAATCAAAGGAATAAAATAAAGTAGTGTAACAAAAGATTTTTTAGCAAGAAAATTTTGTCAAAACTGCACTAAAATGAATAAAATAAAATAAGTTAAGGTCTCGTTAAAGTTACTAAAAGCCATTTAGTGAAAGGAGTTATTCAAACTCTAATGAAAATTACTAACAATTTGTACTAATTTACTTCGTTTTTAAAAAAGCTTGTCGCGCGAATAGCAAACCGACATTTAAATATCTGCATACATACATACCTAACCAATTATGCATGTAAGCTGAATTTGCCGACAAGCTTTTTTGAAAACGAAGTAAATTAGTACAAATTGTTACTAATTTTCATTAGAGTTTGAATAACTCCTTTCACTTAATGGCTTTTAGTAACTTTAACGAGACCTTAACTTATTTTATTTTATTCATTTTAGTGCAGTTTTGACAAAATTTTCTTGCTAAAAAATCTTTTGCTACACTACTTTATTTTATTCCTTTGATTGTACATGTTAAATAAAAGCTTGTTTTTAAAAAATATTTTTTTTTACATTATTTTTTTTAAGTATAAACCGTATTTTTATTAAAAAAAAACACATAATATTAAATAATATTAAGATAAATGGTCAAATCTGGTCAACATGTGAGTGTCGTAAAGTTTTGGTAAGCACTTGAAATGCTATTAAAATGTCAAAATTTTTTACCGAATCCAAAAAGATGTTTCTTTTGTCCATTAATAATAACTTAAAAATACTTTCTGTTAAGAAGTTTACTTGAAAATATGTGTATACATATTTATGTTAAATGAAGTACATGTGTACGTGGAATCAATTTATAAAAGTGTAAAATACGTAAATGTGTGTACATAAACAAGAAAACTTTCTCATGAATACTCATGAATCATTGGTCTTGAAGGGAATGTACTAAGCAAATATATGAGCAAATTAAAAAGTTGATACAACTTATAGTCGAAGAGTACAGTTTTCGTATAGATTTCGCATTGAATGAAAAATTTCATTTCCCAACACTGGCCTCTCATACTGCCAGCTTTGGTTGATTACTCATTGCATCCGTTACTTTTCTATGTTGCGTGCTTTTAGGCGCAAAAGAATAAATTGTATCAGTGCATTTCACAGTCTTATTTATAGATAATGAAAAAAATGCTTGGACTTCCACTTTGAAAACCCCGCGCAATATACCTTTTGGTTATTTCAGCAAATTTTTCGTATTGCTCTGCACTCTAAAAAAATTTTGTTTAAATTCCCGCATATTAAGATAGGTAACCAGTTTCCTCTCTTAATGACTGCAAATTTACACACCGTGTTAATTAAATTAAAAACTGCTTGCTTACTTTTACTTATCATATGTGTTTCGTAGAACAAATTTCAAATTTGTTTTTTGAGTTCTAAAAATTTATTGTTCACAATTTCACAGTTTACACATAAAAAATGTTTAAAATTTCCTCTAACAAATTGTTTAAGTTTACGCATATAAAGAGGTAACCAGTTTCTTCTCCTAGTGTCTGCAAAATTAAACACTGTCTGTTTACTTTTACATGACAAATTTGTCACGTAGAGAAAAACTACACACAAACTGTTTAAAGATGAGTAAATATTAGCACTTAGCATTAGCGCACACAAGGGGTGGGTTTTGGGGTTCAAACCCCCTCCCCCAAAGCTCATAACCTCAATTACAAACTGTATCTTAAAGCTTAGAATCCAGCTCTCAAGAAAAACGAAAAATTCTTACAAAATGACGCACAAGAAGTGGAAAAGAAATTTTCTTCTATCAAAATTTCTTAAATCAGTTTGCAGCTCTCAAGAAAACCACAAGAAATATTTCTTATTATTTCTGTTGCTTGAAAAAGCTAATTTTCTTGGAGAAATAAATAAAAGAGCATTTTTTTCTTGAGAGCTGCAAACTGATTTAAGAAATTTTGATAGAAGAAAATTTCTTTTCCATTTCTTGTGCGTCATTTTGTAAGAATTTTTCGTTTTTCTTGAGAGCTCTTTAAAGTTTACCTGCGAATGAAAACATTGTCCTAAAAATATGCAATGCATACTCACTTACTGTTGCTTTTTACACTTTACAGCCTAAAAAAGTTAACGACTGATATGTACTTATTAAGCATTCGAAGATTTAATTTGCTAGCTTAGAATTCGTTGCACCTAAATGAGCTACATGATTAAAATACAAGTTCAGTTAAGTTTAAGAAATCGACGAAAAGTGTAAAAATTTCATGGAATTATTTAATTTATTTATATTAAAATTCTGTTGTAAAATTTTGTACTACTTTTGAAAGTTGAGTGCATCTTGTGTTTATAGAACTTTTTATTAAACAAGTAATTTTTAAGAAAAATGCAAAACCGACATCGATTCTCATATACAAATTTAGGAGTACCGTTAATTTTTTCATGATTCAATGATCGGATATAAACCAAATTACGGAACTACCCTTAAGGTACCATTTTTCCGGTAAAAAAAAAGAATTATTATAATCGGTTCACGCGGTCCAAAGTTATGTGGTGGCATATATAAAAGAAGAAAAAATACTCCGAAGAATTGATAACCTCCCCTTTTTTGAAGCCGGTTGAAAATGTTTGAGTTCTTTGCAAATTTTATGTAAATAAAATGCAGTTTATGAAACTTTAAAAAGTTTATTTATTTATTACATACTGTACATAAAACTTGCATAAATGTATTTTAAAGAACGTATTATCTGAAGCGAATTTTCATTATTTTCTGATGATATATATTTAGAAGTATAAGCCCCGTTCTCTGTCAACAAATTTGCAACTTAGAAAAACGGAACTACGATCGAAATGTAGAGTAGGTAGGTATAATCGTAAATTTCGAAGATTGATCGAAACGAAACGGAACGCAGAATACCAAAGTTTCCAAACCGAAAAAATTTCGATTCGAGTCGAAATGCAGAATAGGGCTGGTTAACTCATTTAATCTAATTTTTTTTATATAGCTCTAAGTTTGTTAAATTTTTTTTTTTATTTATTTAAGAACGATAGATAATATAAAATATCCCATGGTTAGTAATGATGACATCGTAATACACGAAAATAATGCAGTGTCAAGATCGATTAACTGACATATGGCAGTGTAAGATAGAATCGGATCAGTAAACTGAAGTGAACGGAGGCCAAAACTTATGAAGGCTTTTTGTACCCGCTCAATCCTTTCAATATGGCAATTGTGGTATGGTCTCCGGATACGGACAGCATATTCTAGTTTAGAACGGACGAGAGATTTAAAAAGTAATTTTTACGTACGTCGTTAAATTTCGGAGATCCCATTCACGTTGTATGATCATGAGACATTTTTTTTTGTATAATTGCCGGCATGCGTGAATATTTAGTTGGCCTGTAATATATTTCCACTACCTTTCCCAATAAGAAACACACCACTGTATGTTGGATAGTAAGTACCTCCTGCCCTGTGCTAGTAAGAATCTATGTAAACACATTTGTTTGTAAGGCGCGCGGCGGCGCAGCCGCCGATTAGTGTGAGTGCACTAAATTGAGCGTCAATCATTCTTATACATATATTTGCCACTTCTACGTTCTCATCTCCGTCTCAGAGCAGCAGCGCTGACTGTGGTGGTGGCGGCAGCAGCGGTAATGGCAGCAATAGCAATGAGTTCTCTTCACTTCTCTCCACCTCATTCGGTTCAGTTGAGTTCAGTCTACGCACCTTAGCTCGTCGTCTCACCTCCGCCGACGTATTTCGTTCTATTCAAATTTTTTCTTCCTTGTTTTAGCTTGCTGCTAAAGTTCTTCCCCTCTATATCAAGTTAATTCAAAAATTGTTCTTCAATGGCGTCCCATTAAGAAACATATTTAAAAAAGTGTAAAGTTCCAAAAGAATATGTTAGAATTTGCCAAATTCATTTTACATATTAACATTTTATGTACATACATATGTACATGTATAAAATATTTGGTGAAAAAATACATGAGAAGACAATATGTTTGCTAATTCTAATGCGAATACATATATAGTGTAAAGTGCAACATTTGGGTATGAGAAAAGGAATTTTCAAAATTAAGTGACCGTATTCAACATGGAATGTGAGATTATTACAATTCTTTTTAAGTGAAGCGCATAAATAATCAAAATTATTTACACAAGTACATATGTATGCATATACATAGATGTAAGAAAATTAAAATGTACTGAGAATACGACTTATTAACATCATCGTGTCATTCTGGTAATTGTAAATATGTATCAGGTATTAAGTGCTTACATTAGTGTGTGAGTGGGTAAATCTTCGGCTGCGAAGCAATCGAATTGGGGAAGCAACGAACAAGCGAGTTTGTGAGCGAGCAGGCAGCAGAAGGCAGGGTTGTATTTATGCGGGAAAATGATATAAGCTTTGAAACAGGGCTGACAAAGTAGGTACAGTTGTACCGTTTTCCGACGTTTGCAGTATTTTACAATAGGTACAATCATGCTTTGATGCAGTTGCAGATGCAGTTTTCGTTTTTTTCTTTACTTGTAGAAATGAGAAGAGCTTTGCTTTAATTTTGCAGAATTCTAAAGAAAAGTGTAAAATGTAAGAAAATACGGTAAAAGTGTACTTTAGCGGAAGTAGGCCAAAATTGATGAAAAAAATTCAAGAGGGGTATCAATCGAAGCGTTTTAATGCGAACAACAATAATCTGAGAGTGGAAATTCTCATTTTTAATTCATTAAAGAGTTGTTCGCAAAAAACACTTGCACTTTTCGCACTATGTTATGATGAATTTGACGCAAATAAATGGAGTAAATGAACTCAACTGAACACATATTCATTAGTTTTTATACATTTGTGATGTTTTAAGTGTACACTTTCGCGAAATTCTGTATTTAATAGCAATATTCCGATGGTGAAAATCCGCACAACAATCTTGCGTAGTTAATATAAATAACGGGAAATATAAATAACAGGAAAACTAGTGTTGCCACTCTATTAAAAATAAAATGGAACTAAATTGCTGCTGCCACTCTATTAAAAAAGTTTTCGTGCATCCAACTCCTTTTGCGTAGGCGGCCTTCGGCCGCGCTTAGAGATTATAACCCTCACAACGTAGAATTCTCCTTTCTGTGTTGCCAAAGAAAAGGGGCAGAACACCTTTTGCAGAGAACACCTTTCTGCGTAGGCGGCCTTCGGCCGCGCTTAGAGATTATAACCCTCACTACGTACAATTCTCCTTTCTGCGTGCGAAGAAAAGGAACAGAAATCCCCTTTTCACAAAAGTATATTTCTTGTGCATTATTTGGGTGTTTTTAAAGTTGAAATACAAACTGTATTAATAGAGTTGCAGCACCATTTATATTAACTACACAAGATTGTTGTGCGGATTTTCACCATCGGAATATTGCTATTAAGTACAGAATTTCGCGAAAAAGTACACTTAAAACATCACAAATGTATAAAAACTAATAAATACGTATTAAATTGAGTTCATTTATTCCATTCATTTGCGTGAAATTCATCAAAACATAGTGCGGAAAGTACAAGTGTTTTTTGCAAATAACTCTTTAATGAATTAAAAATGTTAAGACGCCTCGATTGATACCACTCGAACTTTTTCCGTCCATTTTTACCTGCTTTCGCTAAAGTGCACTACTACCGAAAATACTTGGTATTGATCGTTTTTCATGCGGCTTATCGTAAAACAACAAAAACCTGCTTATTTTTGATTGGTTTGAATAGGTATCCAGTATACCATAACAAAGGGAAGGGAATAGATTTAAGCTGGTATTCTGAAGCTGAGTTCCAAGTTGGTATATTGCAAAGCATCAGCCTCCTTTATTTCTAAACTATAACTGATGGAAATATTCAATATGCGCAACCATGTTCAAATGCCAAATTGGAACTTAGTTGCGCAAATTGGTCATTTCCATCAGTTATAGTTTAGAAATGAAAAAGGCTGATGCTTTGCAATATACCAACTTGGAACTCAGCCCATTTGACGAAGCGAACGGTTTGGCGAACACTTCAAATCTGCATTAATAGTGTTCGCTTGTACAAGCTTTATGTGTATTCACCAAACCGTTCGGGGAGTGTGTCACGAAGTTTTTGTAACCCAGACGTAAAAAAACTAGACAAAATATATATTTACTTTGATTAGTAAAGTTTACTTTTAACACTGCCTTTTCTAAACACTTCTTTCTAAATTGTAAAAATCTGTATTAATATCGGTTAGTTTTAAGGTACTTTAAAGCTTCCATTGTACATATGGTGACCATATTTATGAGAGCCGAATAGGGACAAAAAAGGGTTTAAATTTTTTCCACACTGTTTTCCCTGAAACAGTATCCTNTTTTCATGCGGCTTATCGTAAAACAACAAAAACCTGCTTATTTTTGATTGGTTTGAATAGGTATCCAGTATACCATAACAAAGGGAAGGGAATAGATTTAAGCTGGTATTCTGAAGCTGAGTTCCAAGTTGGTATATTGCAAAGCATCAGCCTCCTTTATTTCTAAACTATAACTGATGGAAATATTCAATATGCGCAACCATGTTCAAATGCCAAATTGGAACTTAGTTGCGCAAATTGGTCATTTCCATCAGTTATAGTTTAGAAATGAAAAAGGCTGATGCTTTGCAATATACCAACTTGGAACTCAGCCCATTTGACGAAGCGAACGGTTTGGCGAACACTTCAAATCTGCATTAATAGTGTTCGCTTGTACAAGCTTTATGTGTATTCACCAAACCGTTCGGGGAGTGTGTCACGAAGTTTTTGTAACCCAGACGTAAAAAAACTAGACAAAATATATATTTACTTTGATTAGTAAAGTTTACTTTTAACACTGCCTTTTCTAAACACTTCTTTCTAAATTGTAAAAATCTGTATTAATATCGGTTAGTTTTAAGGTACTTTAAAGCTTCCATTGTACATATGGTGACCATATTTATGAGAGCCGAATAGGGACAAAAAAGTGTTTAAATTTTTTCCACACAGTTTTCCCTGAAACAGTATCCTCATAGTAATAATAATAATAATAGATTGGCGCTTACACATATGTTAGTGTTTGGCCGAGCTTCTCCTCCGATTTGTGACGTGCGCCTTGATGTGGTCACACAAAGGGGAGTGACCTACAGTTTTATCGTTCCCACGACAGTCGGGTCTACGTAACCGGAACGACCCTGATTTATATCTGGCCAAGGACTGTCACTCCAGCAACACTCCCCAAAAAGTCTTTGGGGAATTTGTATGCTGCTACAACAACAACAACCTACAGTTTTATACCGACTCCGAACGGCGATTGTATTTTTATGAGAAGCGGTTTTTCATGGCAGAAGTACACTCGGAGATTTGCCAATGCCTCTTGAGGGGAGACCGCGGTTAAGAAAAAACCTTTTTTCAAAATTTTTTATTCTTTTTTGATGTTGCTTTGAACCCAGACGCTGCGGTGTGGAAGCGCGCACTGCTTACCACTACACCACAGCGGCCACCTTATAGTAACACCGCAAATTTGTAGGATAATTTTCTCGACATTTTTACCCTGTAAAATTTGTTTAAAAAACTCGTTAAATTTTAGTATAATTTAGTGCAATTTTAAGTCGGTAAGGCTTACCACTAATTTTTGGCAATTTTTTTTTTTGACGGTGTTACGCATTTTTTTCATACAAAGTATGTTCGACCATTGTTTTTGAAAGAGAAACAAATGAGCAGCACTTTCACTCGCACTTTACTATACTCAATTTTAATGAGTTACAAAACTGTAAAACAAATTTTTTTCTATTGATTCTAATTAAAGAGTTTGAAATTTTGGCGAAACATTGCAGAATTAATTTTTATAGTTTTTTGCACAAAGTTGGAAATTTGGTATTATATGGTTTTTGTTAGGAAAAGAGCTTTACTTTCATAAAATAAATAATAAGCATTAAATAAACTAAGGAAGAATAGCCAAAATTTGCTAAAATGTCGATTCCTAATTACTATTTTGGCCAGTGTATGTATTCCTCGATTCGAATCACAGGCATTCAGATTAGAAAATAATAATGCCGAATTTCCACTAGGCATTGAAATGACAGAAAATATATGCCATTTAAAAAAATGCCATGTGGAAATGAACTTAAAGAAAATTTTTTTAACGTAATGACACGAANTTGATTAGTAAAGTTTACTTTTAACACTGCCTTTTCTAAACACTTCTTTCTAAATTGTAAAAATCTGTATTAATATCGGTTAGTTTTAAGGTACTTTAAAGCTTCCATTGTACATATGGTGACCATATTTATGAGAGCCGAATAGGGACAAAAAAGTGTTTAAATTTTTTCCACACTGTTTTCCCTGAAACAGTATCCTCATAGTAATAATAATAATAATAGATTGGCGCTTACACATATGTTAGTGTTTGGCCGAGCTTCTCCTCCGATTTGTGACGTGCGCCTTGATGTGGTCACACAAAGGGGAGTGACCTACAGTTTTATCGTTCCCACGACAGTCGGGTCTACGTAACCGGAACGACCCTGATTTATATCTGGCCAAGGACTGTCACTCCAGCAACACTCCCCAAAAAGTCTTTGGGGAATTTGTATGCTGCTACAACAACAACAACCTACAGTTTTATACCGACTCCGAACGGCGATTGTATTTTTATGAGAAGCGGTTTTTCATGGCAGAAGTACACTCGGAGATTTGCCAATGCCTCTTGAGGGGAGACCGCGGTTAAGAAAAAACCTTTTTTCAAAATTTTTTATTCTTTTTTGATGTTGCTTTGAACCCAGACGCTGCGGTGTGGAAGCGCGCACTGCTTACCACTACACCACAGCGGCCACCTTATAGTAACACCGCAAATTTGTAGGATAATTTTCTCGACATTTTTACCCTGTAAAATTTGTTTAAAAAACTCGTTAAATTTTAGTATAATTTAGTGCAATTTTAAGTCGGTAAGGCTTACCACTAATTTTTGGCATTTTTTTTTTGACGGTGTTACGCATTTTTTTCATACAAAGTATGTTCGACCATTGTTTTTGAAAGAGAAACAAATGAGCAGCACTTTCACTCGCACTTTACTATACTCAATTTTAATGAGTTACAAAACTGTAAAACAAATTTTTTTCTATTGATTCTAATTAAAGAGTTTGAAATTTTGGCGAAACATTGCAGAATTAATTTTTATAGTTTTTTGCACAAAGTTGGAAATTTGGTATTATATGGTTTTTGTTAGGAAAAGAGCTTTACTTTCATAAAATAAATAATAAGCATT